GTTCGGGATGCATTCAGAAAGCTTCGAATGTGTACGACTCCCTGTATCACCCCTTTGACACTTCTATCAGCTGCTACCTTGTCTCGGCTTTGACGCTTACAACGACCGAGCAGATAGACAGAGATCGAAGTGTGTTTTGTTCATGTCATTTCACCTGGTGTTTCTTCGGGACGCATTCAGAAAGCTTGCAATGTGCACTATTACCTACATCACCCCTTTCACCATTCTATCAGCTGATACGTTATCTCGGCTTTGGCGTTTACAATGACCGAGCAGATAGATGGAGATCGCAGTGTGTTTTCTTCATCTCATTTCACCTACTGCTTCTTCGGCGACCGACATCTTCCGACTCATGAGTGTTGCTGTGGCAGACTGCGTAGCCACACGGGCCCTGTAGGACCCGTCCCGGACATTCAGCCTTAAAGCCTAAAACTTAGGAGCTACAGGCCCCGGTCGTTTCAGCCTGAAAACTGAAAAACGAGGGCCTGCAGGCCCTACTCTGTTTCAGCCTATTTCTGGGTCTTTCAGACCCAGAGTTTTTCCAGCCTGAAACGGAGGGCTATTCTTAGGCCCTGGGCTATTTTTAGGCCCTCATTTGTTTCGACCTGCCCTAAGATTCAGGCACGAAAACTGGGTTTCGGAACAGGCTATTTCTGGCCTGTTCCCACGCCAGCTCGAGCAGGAGCTGCAGCTGCAGCGCCTGCCTCCCTGCGGCATTATTGGCATTAGCACGAGCAGGAGCTGCAGCTGCAGCCCCTGCCTCCCTTCGGCATTATTGGCATTAGCACGAGCAGGAGCTGCAGCTGCAGCCCCTGCCTCCCTTCGGCATTATTGGCAAGAGCACGAGCAGGAGCTGCAGCTGCAGCCCCTGCCTCCCTNTGCAGCCCCTGCCTCCCTTCGGCATTATTGGCAAGAGCACGAGCAGGAGCTGCAGCTGCAGCCCCTGCCTCCCTTCGGCATTATTGGCAAGAGCAGCCTCCTGGACTGCTCGCCCGAGTCAGGAGGCACCCGTGATAGTACATAGGAGCTTCAGGCACTGAACGGGTAGGCAGTTGGAGAGTCGGACGGTAGTCTTCAGATTTCGGCCGCAGCACTCAGGAGGAGCGCTGCAGTAGTCTTCAGCGCTAGGCAGTAGTAGTAGCGCAAGCTGTAGTCTTCGGCGCTGGGCGCCATAGCCATAGCAGTAGTCTTCAGCGCTGGGCGCTGTAGGTGGTAGGTAGTAGAGTGGGGAGAGACGCTGGCGGAGGCCAGTGGTACGTACCTGTGGCGCCATCGCTCCAGCTCCATCTTCGAGGTACCTGCATCAAGGCGCCAACTTCACAGGTTAGTACTAGAGAGAGAGAGAGAGAGAGTTCTTCTTCCTCTTCTTCTCAGTCCACCATCTCTTCTTCCCCTCTCACCACCTGCTTCTTCTTCTTCTTCCTCTTCTTCTCAGTCCACCATCTCTTCTTCCCCTCTCACCACCTGCTTCTCAGTATCAGCGGACTACTACAGAGAGAGAGTTGTGACATGAGACTTGACGACATTGGATCCAGGCTCGACATTGGGATTCAGACAGTTTGACGAGGGACTATTTGGGCCTGTGCTGAACACTTCGTGTTGACGACATTCCCATCTTCCCTTCTTCTTCGTCTAACCCCACCTCCTTCATCTGTGTATGGTTGGGGCTGGCGCAGTCTTCTTGTGTGAAGCGCCAGACCCCTTCGCACCATGATGATGATGATGTATGTTCGGGGCTGCATTACAATATTGATTGTTTGGATCATTGGTATCTAAGTCTTCCGCTGTGCTATCTTATACCTTGTATTGAAAGGTCGGTTCTTGTTCTGGTCTGCACCTATACGGTATGCAACAGTTGCAGATGGACTCCTATGGGAACACTTTTCAGCCACGTTCCTGAGTAGTTGAGGACGGCTTTGTGCCCAAGTTTGTGGCCACTCCAAAGGGTTGTATCTATCGTATGAACGAGGAGGCACTCGAGATTCTCCAAGCCCAAATCAATGACCTTCTGACTCAGGGGTGAATCACTCGTATCACTCCACCTTATGATGCACCCATTCCTTTCATGCAAAAGAAGGACGACCTGCCGTTGTCCACCTGTTCCCTATCAAAACAGGACGTAAGAACTGATTTGAAAGCCCAGGATAAGATAAAGAGGCCCGGGTTTGCATGCAGCAGCAGGCAAATTGCCGTCAGTTACCGTCTCCTTCCCATTCCCATGAGGGCGGACCTTGTTTGCACATCGACCAAGCCAAACACAGTCTTGCCCGCAAACGGCTCAAACATCGATGGATTCTGTCTCCTGCAGACAATCCGTTCAAGGGTCCTTTGTTCGTAGTGGATGTCTCATATCACCTCCGATTTCTTTTCTTTGTTCTTTTTCCTGATGTGTGTCATCCTTGCGCAGGGGCCCTGCTAATCTTCTCTATCGTTCCAATTTTAATGGATGGCCCGAAAGACGTCACCTCCGATTTCTGTCATGCCTTGAAACTGGTTGATTTCAATCGACACTGAGAGAGACTCTTTCCCTGGTTGGTGTTCTTCACAACCTCCTGCAATGGATGTGGTTGTTAGGAGGTGCGCCAAATCATCACGTATCACTACAGTACCATCTTCACCCGAATAGAACACCTGGTCATTATAGCTGTATTTGGTGCAGGTACGGCAATATTTACCGGGTGTTCTATTCGGATGAAGACAGTAGTACAGGAACAACCCCATGCAGTACAAGGTTACTTTTTCAATTACAAGCGCCTTCTGTGTCAGACATCTTGGCATCTTACTGGCGATAATGACATTCTCAGGCAGCCGGGCAGGTGTCACACAGCCCCGACCCAAGTCTTGGGTCCCCTTGCCACATGCGCAGCGGCTGGGCTTCTTAAACCGCTAGTACACAGCCCCAGCCTTGCAGAAAGTTTTAGTCGCCACAAGCAAAACAGGAGGCGCTGTTGAAAAAAAAATTGGCGGCCTCTGAAGTTGTACGGGTTTCATCCTGACACCCGTGGGCTGATGTGTGGTGTCCTGGTGCTTTAAGGAGGGGGATTGTGGCATTCAGGGCCCCCTGCCACAACGAGCTGAGGGCCCAGCTTCTCCTGTGAGCGGCCCGTTGCTGCTCCGCCCTATTATTGGCACTGGAGTGCCCATAGGGCCGCTAGATCAGGAAGAGTGACCCTGATCACATTTCCAGGCAATCCTTTATTTTCTTCATTCTCGTTAATTTTGTCTGATGTGGTTGTCCTTTTCTGGCTGGTGCCTTTTCAAAATTTTATCCCCGTGTAAACATTGAACAGGCACCTGATGTGTCTTTTTCAACAGGTGCCTCTTAGCACCACTAGGAGAGGTGCTTGTTTGAGGTCAGCCTCCAAGCCTCTTTTTCCCAGTGCCGATTTCTGGTGCTCCCCAAGGTTCATCAAAACCAGGCGCATGCACAAATCCAGAAACAAATTGGCTGGCGCCGCCAGCCATTTCATTTCAGTAGACCGATCCCTGAAAGACGCAGTGTGTTAACGGCCACATCAGAATGAAATGGCTGGGAAAGGTGTTCGTGGTTCAAAGCTTTACTTTCGCACGGATTATGATCAGGACTATTTCTGCCCTGAGTACCTCTTAGCACACACAGGACTTGAGTTGCCCATCGATGCAGGCCCCAGCGCCAGTCCAGGCCCAGCTGCTCATGCAACTTGGGACCTGCATGACATAAGCCGCTGAAGGTTCCTGCTTTCACCAGTCAGCACAGACAGAAAGAAATAGAGTCCATTATTTCCTCTTCTCCGCCATCTTGTTCCAGAGAGGCATCATAACGAGGGTTTGACATTGGACTTGAGCGCTGCTCCCAGTGGTTGAGAACAGCAGCGTTGTTGTTGAAGGCGACCCAGAGCAGGGATTATTAGTCCACATTGCCACACTTCTGCTCCTTCCTCTGTTCTTCTTTGTCTTCTTCTTCTTTTGCTGCTGCTACTGCTGCTGCTGTGTCTTTCTTCACCTTCTTTCCCGCAACCTTTGTCGGTGTATGATCACGGGGAACATTGTTCTATGCTGCTGCTGCTGCTGCTGCTGCTGCTGCTGCTGCTGCTGCTCTTTCTTCATCTTCTTTCCCCCAACCTTTGTCTGTGTATGCCCATGGGGAACGTTCTTGTATGCAAGCACTGATTCTTTGCTCACAGGCACATTCATTCATTCCTTTCCTCTAAGGTCTGTCATTCTGTTTATGCTGTGGATCGAGTCGTTCTTGATATGAGCCTACCGCCGTGTGTGTTGCCTTCATCTCATCCCCATCGACAATGACTGGACTTGCGCGTATGCCTCCCATCAGCTACCATCTTCCACTGTGCAGAACCTGCGGGGTCATCATCGCTGTCTCCCGCATGAAACTTGGCCCGCATAGTACGCGCATAATCGGGGGAAGGCGGTAGGCTTGGAAATTGGAACAGCCTGCACCTAATTACATCAAAAACGCCTAACAATGTCTGGAGGGAATGGGATAAGCGGATCGAGGTGTGAAGCAAGACAAAGCATAGCATTGTGAATAGCAGATAAACATAAGGCTGCCTTACAAAGCAAGGGTCACATCAACCTGGTCTCCACTCATGAGGACTCACATAAGCCAGGTACAAAAGAAAGACCACGTGGCTGATTGTGCGGCACAACTGAAACCACATAAGAAATAGCCCTTTGTACCACCCTTGACGAAAACTGTGAGATACTAAGGACTCTAGACAGAGAGGCAAAGACCAAAACCAAGCTGTGGACAGTGGAACCGATAGCCAGGTGGTTACAATGTTCTGGGACGCTGGACCCGTTTTCCAGCAGGTGCTGCTCCCCACCCACAGACGCAGCCTCCTCGGGAGCGCTAGTGGTGCCTGCTCCTATCAGCACCCCTAGCGCAGTTCGGGGGAGTTACCAAAAATAAAAAAATAAAAAAAATCCTCAGGTTTGACCAACCAGGGAGAAGGGAAGGTGGTTGAGTCAGGGTGACGGTAATCTCTTTGGGTATTACCTACCAACCAGCGTGCCCTCTCCTTTTGCTGACCGCTTGGTAGTTGTCGATTCTTTTCCTCTTGCCCCGTATCTCAACTCCTTTCCTCTCGCCGGAGATCTCTCGCCGCCGTCTTCTCCAGCTCGAAGTCCGGAAGTTCCTCGGGAACGACTAACCACACCAGCATGGGCAACTGCAGAGACCCCTACAGAAACCCCTAGCTCCAGCCCTGTTGCAGTCGCTGACACCCGACTAGGGGCCTCCATATATGCTGCCTTCTTGAATTTGCGGATTTTGTAGTACAAGAATGCTGTTGCACAAACAATCAACATAAACATTGGCACTCCCAGTGCAACCAAGAGAATCGACAGTATCATTGGGCTGATTGGCTTTTTACTCTCTTGTTTGTCTATCGGCCATTTTGATTTCCCCTCTGGCGGGGAATCCATGAATGGTGGCCGTGGCCCTGGTGGCTTTCGACATGGTGGCCCCCCCAGAATGTCGCACAAGCCAGGATTCCCTTCGTATCTGCAGTTTTGTTGAATAAAAAAAGGCGAAGGCCAGGGAAGACAAAACACACACAGCCAGAAACAAAGCCACGCTTAGCAAGAAGGAAACACGAAGTGGCATAACAACAACGCAGAAATTACCAACCTTCATTATCAGACTTCAAATCCTCGACAGCCGCTCTTACACACGCTGACCAGTCTCCAGCAAAGTTATGCACAGTCCAAAGCAAGCACGGGTTGTCGCAAAGACAAGATGGGCCAGCGTGGCTCCACCTGTGTGAGAGGAGGAGTAAGAGGACAATAATCTAATCAAAGGGAGGAAGCAGAACTGCGGGTGCCAAATTGCAACTCAAAAAATCGACAAGCGAATGAAAGAGTTGGATTTGTCCTGTTAGGGCAGCAATGCATGACCTATATGGGGCAAACAAAAAGTGAAAAGAACGAAAAGGAAGAGTCTAGAACCGGGGGGAAGGGGAAGGGGGTAAGGGGAGGGCGGGGACGGGGAGGGCGGGGACAATGATGACGTGAAAAAGAGGACAAAGAAACCAAGTTGATGTTACGAGCAACCGTGAGTGCACACCTGGTTCGTGATTGCACTTGTGTTTGGTACTGAGGCAAAGAAAGCCAGTGGCAATGAGCAGCGGTTGCATTTCTTTGTGGTTTTTCTTTGGAACGATAACATCAGACCCAACTTCATATACAAGAATGTGGAAGGAGTCTGGCACCCAGAAAAGTATGAACTTGCTATGAAGATTCTCAAGAAACCAAGCCTTTGAAGTTTGAAATTATACAAATAGTTTGAGAGGCGCAAAGAATAATTCCGAGTATTCGGGTACTATTTTAGGACGTGAAGACACCCGATCCCATTCTCACCTCGATCTGTGAAATCATCTTACGCAACGGCCCTTCACTTTTGAGTGTAAAATTCCGTGCGAGTGCGTGTACTCCTGATGCATTAACAACATGACTCAACATAGATATTCCTATGATTAAAGAAATAAAAAGAAAGCTGTCCTATGATTTGCTATTTCTTACCCATATTCCATCCCATGCTCTTCTTTGTGCAGTAGAATAACTCGCATTAATGGACGTCCTGTAGATGACCTGTTGAAGCTTTGAAGCTTTGCCCTCCAAAGAATTTTTTTCAAAAACGTGGTGTAGGTAGGAAGGGGGAGGAGGTGCGGGCGGGCAGGAAGTGTAGAGGCAGGAAGAGTGATGAAGTTGAGCGCGAGCTGCCCCCATCCCCGTATGCCATAACAGCCCACTTGCACGCTGTGAGAGAGGCAGAGTGAAGGGGAAGGTGTTAAA